CCTAACCTCCGGAGGAGAGTTTTTAGCATCTCCTTTCTTTAACTTACTTTTCGAAGGAGAAACACTCCTTTGTTGTCCTTCCAAACGTGTTTTAGTGACAGAATTCCCTTTCTAGTAACATTCTCTCCATTTGCTCTAAAATCTGAAAGGCGGACAGCAGTTGGTTTCTTTTGCCTTTTTTTTAGTAAAAAAAACAATTTCGCCCAGCCGGTGTGGCTCAGTGATGAACCAGGAGGTCGTGGTTCGATTCCTGGTCAGGGCACATGCCCAGGTTGTGGGCTCAATCCCTAGTGAAGGGCGTGCAGGAGGCAGCCGACCAATGATTCTCTCTCATCATTGATGTTTCTCTCTCTCTCCTTTCCTCTCTGAAGTCAATAAAAAGATATTAAAAAAAAGACAACCTCATGATAAAAATGTTAACTACCCCTCTCATCTTGTCTCTCTTGCTAAGTAAGCTCAGTGGTTTCCCCGTCCTGTTTCATGAACACGCACTGAAGGCTTCCTGTCCAGCATGCGCAGAAGCACGCTTATTTGGCACTAGAGGTATAAACGAGACTGTCATGTGGCCGCTCTCCTTACAGAGCGCGTCATTTAGGAAGGGAGACAGATGAGCAAATAACTAACTACAATCCTGCTTGATAAATGCCACGTTGGAGGTTTCGAACAAAGTGCCAGGGGAGCACCAGGGAGTGATTGATTCGAGGGAAGGGGGTGGGGACGGGGAGCAGGCAAGACTAAACAGCAGAAGTGACATTTGAGTTGAGCCTTACGGGATGAATAGAATTTTGCCAGATGGACAAAGGGGTGGGGGTGGGGACCCTCCAGACTCATGCAAAAACATGAGAGTGTGAAAGTTTGTGCCTTTGTCTCAGAAGTGGTGAGCAGTCTGTGGGGCTGGAGGAAGAGCAGGGCGTGGAAGGGGTGTTGGCAGAGATCAGTGGGGCCACCTTGTAAAGCTTAAACCTGATCTGTGATTTTTCGGTTGATTTTTCTTTGTTAAATGGCATTTAAATATATAAAATAAATATCAAAAATATAAGTTTTTGTTTTACTATGGTTGCAAAGATAAAAAAATTTCTATATGTGACACGGCACCAGAGTTAAGTTAGGGTTTTTCAAAATGCTGACACGCCGAGCTCAAAAGGTTCACCATCACTGTTCTAGGGAATTGTGAAAGTTTGAAAATAGGGAAATGTTGCGGCGAGACTCCACTTTAGAAGGAGTTCTGGCCGCAGAGGCGGAGATGGTTTGAATGAGGGTGACTGGGAACAGGGAGACCAGTCAGAAGGCTATGACCATCTTTTACATGCGAGCTGATGAGGGCAGGGCCAGTGGGGATGCAGTGAGGGTACGTACTTGAGGAGCACCTCTGAGGAAGGCCTGGGACATTGAGAGGATGTGGGGCTGGGGAGGGGAGGTTTGGATGATTGGGAATACAGTGATGGTGCTAACCAGACAGAGAGCAGAGGAGGAACACAGCTGTGGGCTGAAAGTAATGAATTGGATTTTGGATATATTGGATTTGGAGTGGAATATCAGTTGGAGTTTCCTAAACAAAAAGCAATAAATGCAGATGTAGAGCCTGCTGGAAGTTAGGATTAGGAAGATATTTCTAGGGTGTTGGGGAATTGCTTTTTCAAAATTTTGTCTTAAGTTTAGAGTCAGAAGCTGTGCGTTGAACATTTAGCTCTGCCACTAAGGGTGCGACCTGGAGAAAGTCACTATGATGTTTCTTTACCTTGGTTTTCTTTTATTTTTAAACATATTTTTATTGATTTCAGAGATGAAGGCAGAGGGAGAGAGAGAAACATCAATGATGAGGGATCGTTGATCGGCTGCCTCCTGGACGCTCACACAGGAGATCGAGCCCATAACCCAGGCATTTGCCCTGACTGGGAATCGAACCATGATCTCCTGGTTCATAGGTTGATGTTCAACCATTGAGCCACGCCGGCCGGGCTACCTTAGTTTTCTTGTCAGTAATACCAACTCTGACTTACACACAGGCTTGTGTATAATTCAAATGAAATAATGTTTGTGAAATGCCTTTGAAATTACAAAACACAGCACCAGCATATGATACTATAATTTCCTGACTATGCTTGTTTATTTCATTCATTTGGTTATGTTTTTTGCTGAATTAGTTAATTCATTCAGCCTTTTTTTCAGTGTCTATTATGCCAGGCACTGAGGATACAGTAACAAACAAGACAGTCCCTATCATTGTGGAGCTTGTAGCCTAGTGTAGGAGACCGAAAATCAACAAATATATATCATATAATAGCAGGTGGTTTAAATACTATAAAGAAAAATATAGCAGGATTGGGGGGCTGAGTTATAGGGAAGGGTACTGTTTTAGAGTGGTCATGGAAACCTGTCTGAGATGACATTTCAGCAAAGTAGAATGAATAAGGGAGCAAAGTAGAATGAATAAGGGAGCAAGGCCACGTGACCATGGGGTGGGCTGGGGGAGGACAGGGAGGCGTGCCTTAGCCATGGTAGGTTGGAGGGGACAGTGGGTGCAAAGTCCCTGAGATATGAATGCGCTCAGTGTATTCTAAGCAGCAAGGAAACCAGTGTGGCTTGTAGTTATAGTAAAGATGTCGTGTTTTAAAGGTGGATGGGAAGAGCAGAGGAAGCAGATCTATTTTTACAGTGATCACTCTGACAGCTCTTTGGGGAGTACATTGCAGAGGGTAGGAGTGGGAGCAGGAGGCAGGAGCAGGAGGGCGGAAGCAGCAGAGTAAAGGAGAAATCGTCAGGTTTTAGATACTTTTTGAAGGATTTCCAGTGGGTTAGATGTACGGGGTAGGAGAGAGAGTCAGAGAGCTTTCCAAGGTGTTTGGCCTGAGCCCATGGGTCTGTGGTGAAATAGAAAGACTGGGGGAGAGGAGAATGGGTTTTGTGGGGAATTGGGTTTTTTCTGTCCTTATTTATGCAGTTTACTTCTTAATGAGAACAATTTTAATGAAAGCAGTAAGGATCTTACAGATCATCTAATTCGGTGATGTCCAAGGATGGGAAATCACTCCCTGTAAGAGTAAAGGGAACTCCTGGCTCCCCCACCAAGACGAGTCTTCCCCACTCACCTCCCAAACCGCTATTAATGGCTGTTAATGAGGGTGTCTTATTCCTCAGGCATTTGACCAGAACTTTTGAAAACCATTGACCTACTTAGTTCACTTGTTTTATGGGCTGAGGAGGTTGTTGGAAGTGCCCAGGGATACAAAGCTGCAGTTTTCTTGACTTCAGTCAGTAATTGCTGCATGTGTGGCTAGTTTTTCTTTTCAGTTTGATTGTAAACTCCTCGAAAACAAGAATTATGTCTTAAATTCTTCCATATTTTCTTTTTACCTAGGAGAATACTGAGTAATAGTAGGCATCAGTCCAAACATTAAGTTGAGCATAAAACCCAAAGAAAAGAAAAGAAAATCAAGTCTCTGCCTAGTGACGCCTGCGAGCTGACCTTCGTTAGTAGCGGGTGGCCATTGCTGGATTTCCCACAGGTCTGGGGCATCAGCAAAAGACAGACACCAGAAGAAAAGAGAGAGAGGTAGTTCAGCCTTGAAAAACGTAACAGAAGTTTTAGAATCAGATAACCAGGAAAGAAGGCATTAGGGAATCATTTTTACCGCCTTTTACTATTGCTTTTATAGTGAGAGTAAGACCAAGATAACTTTGTTATTGCTGAGAACTTTTTTTAAAGCTTTGTGCTTTATTTTTTTACTTTTTTATTTTATTTTTAGAGAGAGGAAGGGAGAAAGAGAGAGAAACATTATTGTGAGAGATAAACAGCGATTGGTTGTCTCCCTTACTCTCCCCGACTGGGGATTGAACCCACCACCTTTCGGTGTAGGGGGACTACGCTGCAACCAGCCAGGCTCTCTGAGGCAGATGTTACCGTATTGCTGGTAGTGGGTGGAGCTCACAGCTATTCACTCCGTGTTGGGAAGCTGTGTGCAGTCCCATCACGGGTGATTTTCAGTTCCTGCCTTCTGCCGAGTAGACATTTATATAAAAGGTTAAACAATAGGGTGGCAGTTATTCGTAGACAATAAAAGAGATGGGAAAAGAAAGGGCTAGAATCACCGATAATGTTAGTGAATACCTGTAAATCTCCTGGAGCTGTGCCTGCACGTACGTTGTCACTGCTCCTACTGCTATGTCGCCATTGTCACCATCGTCATTTTTTATGAATCCTGTGAACTCTAAAGTGAGTGACTGTTCACATCTGGATTGAAGTGGTCAGAGATGGTTTCATGAACAAGATGGTCCCTGGGGCTTGGGCAGTGTGGACAGGTGGGAACACAAGAGGGGGTACTCGAGATGAGAAGAACCCCATAAACATGGGATTGAGGCTGGGAGTGTGCGTGCCCCGTTCTCAGACAGCAAGGAGACCAACGTGTCTGGCGCAGAAGGGGCATGTGGTTCACTAGAGGGAGAGAAATTAAGATCGATAATTCAGAATTTATTATGTTATGAATGCTACATTACATTCATAAAATTGGATTTGAACCCTGTATGTGAGCTACGAAATACCCATTAATAGAAAATTATATGGTCATTTTTTAATGCTATAATCTGTGGTTGCAAATTTGGGTCTTCTTGAGATAAAATATGTGCCTTTGATGTTACAGAGCCTGTGAGACAAACTTTGTCCTTAAAAAGGCTATTTCCACTGACCTCGTGATTTTGAAATTTAAGGCCCTCATTTGTGATTATTGACTCAAATGTATCTTGGAGGATTAGTAAGAGTATTACGTGCTGCCATAGCCTCCTTAACAGACTGTAATTCTCCAGAGGAGCAGGCTTGCGCTTTATTCATCCTCAGGTCTCTTCCAGCACTGAACACAGTTGCTGGCATCAGCGTAGGCTGCAATAAATTGTGGTTGAATTGAATTTTCAAAGCATTCGAGGCTGGCCACCTCCGCACTTGTGGGAGTAATTTGCAGCAGAGCTATATTTTTTGAGTTATGTAACACATTTAATCTTGTTCTTAGGTCCAGCCTGATGACGGGAGGGGCTAAGCGAGGCGTACCCAACCCTTGGCTCTTTGAGGAGCCGGAGGAGACCAGAGGCTTGGGTTTTGATGAAATCCGGCAACAGCAGCAGAAAATCATCCAAGGTACTGACTACCCAGGGACTGTGGGCTCAGGAACCTTGTCAGGTTTTTCCTGTAGCCCTGACTCTTCCTCATGCCCGTTGAAGATCAGAGGGAGAACTGTTGGTCTTCTAAAGCCCCTGGCAGTTTTGTGCCTCAGGAAACCTGGGGAACAGACAGATGATGTCATCCATGGAGGTGACTCAGGAGGTAGTGACTCCCCCTGGGAGAGAGCGGCCGGCAGCTCTGAGGCTGGTTAGCCCCGTGAATCCGAGGCAATTGGGAATTTATTCTCCAAACACAGACTCCATCGTTTCCTTATTAAAATAAGTCAGTTTGGCCTTTACCTTGAAGTTCATCTTGCCCAGTGACTTTTAAACCTGCTAATTATTTCTTTTACTGTCTTCTATCTTTTAAATTTCAGAAGTAATGCACAATTGTTATACAAAGTTCAAACAATACAGAGATATATAAATAAAAAGCTTTCCATATTGCTTCTCCAATATATAAACAAGCTAATATATATTTCCTCAGACTTTTTGTCAATACACATGCATATATTCAGTATAAGGATACATATTTTGCATAAATGGATTTATGATATATATAATTCTACAGCTTTTTAATTTTTTATTTAATATGTATCATGGATATTATTTCATGTCAGTGTTGAGATGTTATTCGCTCTAATTCTACTTTTTAAAAACAGCTTTATTGGGGTGCAGTTGACATTATTATAAATAGCACACAGTGTATGTGATTCCCTAAGCCAGTGGTTCTCAACCTTCTGGCCCTTTAAATACAGTTCCTCACGTTGTGACCCAACCATAAAATTATTTTCGTTGCTACTCCATAACTGTAATGTTGCTACTGTTATGAATCGTAATGTAAATATCTGATATGCAGGATGGTCTTAGGCGACCCCTGTGAAAGGGTCGTTCAACCGCCAAAGGGTTCGCGACCCACAGGTTGAGAACCGCTGCCCTAAGCTTTGACATATGTATACACCTGCGCAACCATCACTGTAATCAAAATAATGAATATAATCATTATTCCCAAAAGTTTTCTTTATGTCTATTTGTAATTCTTACTATTGCTCCTCCCCCAATCCCTAGACAGCTGTTGATCTGCTTTCTGTCACTATAAATTAGTTTCTATTTTCTATAATTTTGCATAAATGGAATCATACAGTATGTACTCCTTTTAGGAGGAAGGAGTCTGGCTTCTTTATCGAAGCATAATTATTTTAAGATTCATCCACATTGTTGCATGGGTCAGTATTTCATTCTTTTGTATTGCAGAATAGTATTACATGGCTTGAATTAACCACAATCTTTGTGTCCATTCACATGTTGATGAGTATTTTGGTATTACAAATAAAATTGCTATTGAACGTTCATATGCAAGTCTTTGTATAGACATAAATTTTCATTTTCTTAGGTAAATTTCTGCCAGAGGAATGCCTGGTCAATGTAGGTGTATGTTTAACTGTTAAAGAAATTACCACACTAGTTTTGAAAGTGTCTGTACTATATTACATCATCATCAAAAGATGTATGTCTCCTATTTGTGTTATTTTTTTAAAATATATTTTTATTGGTTTCAGAGAGGAAGAGAGAGGGAGAGAGAGATAGAAACATCAATGATGAGAGAGTATCATTGATCGGCTGCCTCCTGCATGCCTCACACTGGGATCGAGCCCACAACCAGAGTATGTGCCCTGACCGGGAATCGAACCATGATCTCCTGGTTTATAGGTCGACGCTCAACCACTGAGCCACGCCAGCTGTGTGTTTTATTTGTTTTAGATCCTTAGCAAACGTGGTATAGTCAGTCTTTTCCATTTTAGACATTTTAATAATCTGTGTTGCATTTCATTGTGGTTCTAATATGTATCGCCCTAATGACTACAGTAAAACCTTGATATAACAGACTAATTTGGGCGAGGGGGTGTCCGTTAAAGCTAAAAGTCTGTTATATAATAAAGTAGGTTTTCTGAATGCATATGTTAAAAATTTGACAAATTAATTATTTTACCTGTTTTTACTTACGTAGACAGGTTTGTGTAATTAAAATGTATGAAAAGTTTAATTTCGCAGAAAAGTTTTCTATATGTATTACTGTAATTTTAAATTTATACCGAATAGGTCTAGTTAATGTGTGCATTCACCAGTCACCAGGAGTAAACAAATGCACGCGGCTAGGGCGTGGCTCAGTGCACACGGGAACATCAGCCAGCAGCGTTAAAACCGCTGCAGAAAGTCATGCCATGTGACAACAGAATCTAGCTTCAGGTGGTGTGATCACGTGCTAATCATTTGCCAAACATTGTTTACCAGCGGTAACTCTTGGATTTAAATATGTAGACTATAATTGAAGATATATAATATTTATTTATGTTGGTGAAATTACTACAGTGCTTTTCCCAACATACAGCCTAGCCTGTTCACTAAAATTTGTTAAAAGTAACAGGGTATTTAACTAAATACAAACTAACAAAAAACCCAACTACACCTAGGCATATCATTTTCAAACTACAGAAAATCAAAGATAAAGAAAAAATTTAGTGCTGATGAAAAAAATACACCATCAGAGTATGTGCCCTGACCGGGAATCGAACCATGATCTCCTGGTTTATAGGTCGACACTCAACCACTGAGCCACGCCAGCTGTGTGTTGTATTTGTTTTAGATCCTTAGCAAACGTGGTACAGTCAGTCTTTTTCATTTTAGACATTTTAATAATCTGTGTTGCATTTCATTGTGGTTCTAATATGTATCGCCCTAATGACTACAGTAAAACCTTGATATAACAGACTAATTTGGGCGAGGGGGTGTCCGTTAAAGCTAAAAGTCTGTTATATAATAAAGTAGGTTTTCTGAATGCATATGTTAAAAATTTGACAAATTAATTATTTTACCTGTTTTTACTTACGTAGACAGGTTTGTGTAATTAAAATGTATGAAAAGTTTAATTTCGCAGAAAAGTTTTCTATATGTATTACTGTAATTTTAAATTTATACCGAATAGGTCTAGTTAATGTGTGCATTCACCAGTCACCAGGAGTAAACAAATGCACGCGGCTAGGGCGTGGCTCAGTGCACACGGGAACATCAGCCAGCAGCGTTAAAACCGCTGCAGAAAGTCATGCCATGTGACAACAGAATCTAGCTTCAGGTGGTGTGATCACGTGCTAATCATTTGCCAAACATTGTTTACCAGCGGTAACTCTTGGATTTAAATATGTAGACTATAATTGAAGATATATAATATTTATTTATGTTGGTGAAATTACTACAGTGCTTTTCCCAACATACAGCCTAGCCTGTTCACTAAAATTTGTTAAAAGTAACAGGGTATTTAACTAAATACAAACTAACAAAAAACCCAACTACACCTAGGCATATCATTTTCAAACTACAGAAAATCAAAGATAAAGAAAAAATTTAGTGCTGATGAAAAAAATACACCAATAGATCAATGGAACAGAATAGACAGCCCAGAAATAAATCCACGTAAGTATAGTCAACTGATCTTTGACAAAGGACCAAAGGTAATACAATGGAGTCTTCTCAACAAATTGTGATGGATTTGATTGTTGAATGTTGAACCAGCCTTACATACCTAGGATCAATCCAACTTGCTATGGTTATAACATTTGAGGAATGTTGTAATTTCTTCCTTAAATGTGTGGTAGACTTCAACAGTGAACCCACCTGGTGCTTTCTATTTGGGGTGGTTGTTAATTGTTAATTCAATTTCTTTAGATAAAAGCCTATTCAGATTGTCTGTTTTTTTGTGTGTGAGTTTTGGCAGTTTGTATCTTTCAAGAAATTGGTCCATTTCATCTGGGTTATCACATTTGGTGGCATAAAGTTGTTCATAATATTTTTTTTTATTCTTTTAATGTTCATGAAATCTGTAGTAATGTTTCCTTTTTCAGTTCTGTTATTAATTTGTGTCCTCTCCTTTTTTCTTAGTTAATCTGGTTAGAGGCTTATTGATTTTTTTTTTTAATCTTTTCAAAGAACTGCTGTTCATTATATCCCCAGAACTTACTTATTTTGTAATTAGAAGTTTGCTTTAATACTTATTATTTCTTTTCTTTTGCTTACTTTGGATTTAATTTGTTCTTTTCCTAGTTTCTTAAGGTGAAGTTTATGTTATTGAACACAGATCTTTCTTCTTTTCTAAAGGGTGTCCCAAAATTCACGCAAGAAGTAATTTTGATAGAAAACACAGGTTTATAATTAAAAATTGTAATTTTTTTTTATTGATTCATAAAGTATATATAGTCAACTGATCTTTGACAAAGGACCAAAGGTAATACAATGGAGTCTTCTCAACAAATTGTGATGGATTTGATTGTTGAATGTTGAACCAGCCTTACATACCTAGGATCAATCCAACTTGCTATGGTTATAACATTTGAGGAATGTTGTAATTTCTTCCTTAAATGTGTGGTAGACTTCAACAGTGAACCCACCTGGTGCTTTCTATTTGGGGTGGTTGTTAATTGTTAATTCAGTTTCTTTAGATAAAAGCCTATTCAGATTGTCTGTTTCTTCTTGCGTGAATTTTGGGGAACCCTTTACTACCTCAGTGCTATAAATTTTCCTCTATACACTGCTTTTGCTGCATCCCATAAATTTTAGTGTTGTTTTCATTTACATTAGTTCAAAATATTTAAAAATTTCTCTTGAGATTTTTTTCTTTGACACATGTGTTATTTAAAAGTGTATTGTTTAGCCCAGCTGGTGTGTCTCAGTGGTTGAGCATCCACCCATGCATCAAGAGGGCACTGGTTTGATTCCCAGACAGGGCACATGCCCAGGTTGTGGGCTCAGTCTTCAGTAGGGGGTGTGCAGGAGACAGCCAATCAATGTTTCTCATCGATATTTCTGTCTCTCCCTATCCCTTCTTCTCTCTCTCTCTCTCTAAAAAAAAAAAACAAAAAAAAATCAAGCCCTAATCGGTTTGGCTCAGTGGATAGAGTGTCGGCCTGCGGACTGAAGGGTCCCAGG